ATTTAATCACTGTGTATCATTATAGTATACCAGGTGAATTTTCCCATTATGAATATACTATATTATCTTTTTTTTTTTCCCATTGGTAAATACTCTCATGTCTATTTCATCAGACATAAAAAGAGTGAGGGACTCGTGCATGTCATGACACAGACGAACCACAGAAATAGCACAGGGTACCAAAGGCCACACAGTGTGTGAGCCCATGTACGTGGACCTTCCAGGACAGGTGGGTCCAGAGACAGAAAGCAGATGCACAGTGGGCAGCGCTAGGGTGGGGAAGTGACTCCTTGAGGATGCCGAGTTTCCTTTCAGGTCATCAGGATGCTCCCAAGTCCACAGACGGTTGCCCCATGCTGCTGATGTGGTCAACTCCGTGGACTTGTGTCTTACAGAAGGTTAGCATGGTGACAGTTATGTCATGTGAATTTATGTATAAAACAAACAAAATGTGCAGGCCATCAGGGCTGATGCAGGACGAGGCTCATTGGCTGACTGTGGCGAGGACTCGTTCGGCCTGTCCTTCGGGATGGGTCACATGCAGGGTGAGTTCACATCAGAAGTGCTGAGTGTACATTATCTTTGTAAATTTGGTTTTCCTGTGTTTTAACTTGGCTACTTTCTATTTCTCTATCTTCAACCAAACTAAATATTTCTTCCACGACGTCTTCTCTGTTATTAATCTCACTCACTGTGTTTTCTCCTATCATATATAGTAGCTTTCACCCAAAATGTTCAACACAAGTCTTTTAAATTTTTTGTCTGTATTGAACATGCTCAGTCTTTTCTTTAGCATCTGTAACATGTGACATATAGTAATGAACACCATTTTGATGCATTTCTTACATATTCTCTGTGCTATATTTGAGTTAATTATTTTTCTTCTCTTTATGCGTTATATATTTTCCTGCTTCTTTGCATATCAAATAATTATTCCTCAGAAATCAGGTGTGAAGTTTTACTATGTAGACGCATTTCTGTTGGAATATGGGGCACCCATGCATACATGCCCATCATGGTTTTCAAGAGAGTCCAGGATTTGAACCACATGGTCAGCCATGTGAATTCTAGTTCCCTTAACCACTAGACCATGGGGCTGGACCATAACATGGACATTTTTGAGGGTCTATTATTCTGTATACCACAATTTTTTTTTGAGAGGTTTTCACTATGGGGCACATGCACTTGCCAGAAAGGCAGAGAGAGACAGAGACAGAAAGTGAGAAATCACTCCCTGGGGGTATAGCCACACAGCAATCCCTTCTCCTCCATTCTCCTTTCAGGATCTTGGGCATGCATGCACATGTGTCCAGTGAGAGTTTAAGCTACTGAGTCCAAGACTCAAACAGTGGTTCACTGCATGGGGGTTCAGTGACATAGCCATTATGCTAACTGCTGGTCCCATGGCTACCACATTTTTGTCCTATCTCTAAATACCTACTCCAACTTGCCTAACTCTGGGCTAAACATACATAGAAAAGAAAAACAGTGTGGCTAGAGGTTAGCCTCTTTCTGTCCTTGGTTATTCTGGCTGTCACACAAGAAGACCTTATTGTCAACTTTTTTTTCAGACTTCAAATGCAAGTTTCTAATAACTTGCTGACTACTCTGATAATATACGGTTCTCTTCCACTTCAAATGCAAGTTTCTAATAACTTGCTGATTACTCTGATAATATATTGTTCTCTTCATAATGTACATTTAAAGTCTTATTTATGTACACTCACAAAGGAAAGCAGTGGTCCTCAGAATGTGTAAACTTTGTTTCTTCAGATGAAACAACACAGAAGCTATAATCATAATCAGTATTTCAAAATGATCTATCATCTATGTTGGGTTGTATTGTATCCCCTCAAAATTCATATACTGAAGTCCTAATGCTCAATTTCTCAGAGTGTCACTTTCTTTGAAGATAAGATCTTTAGGATGGTAATTAAATTAGGCCATTAACCCAATATAACTTATGTACTCACAGGGAGTCACCAGAGGAAGACAGCCATCTCTGAGACAGGAACAAAGCCTGTGAAGAAGCCAAACATTCCGACACCTTGATCTCAAATTTGTAGCTTTAAGAATTATGGATTTATGTTTTATGCCGCCCAGATTGTAGTACATTGCTATGTCAGTCCTCATAAACTAACACACCCTCTGTATATTTTCTCCCTGAGAATTAAAACCTTGACAAGGTCTGGGCTTAATGCCAGATATCCTTTATCTCAGTTAATGAAAAACATATTTAACTAAACAAAATGATACTTGATTCAGTTATTTAACATATTTATTGTCATTTCTTCAAAAGACATTTGATTTTCATTTGGAATGGCACTTGGCCTGCTAAGAGAACAATTCATAATTCCCCCATACCTCCTTTCACACTCTTTTCTTACTTAACTGTCTTTTACAAAACAAGAGCAAAAATACAGAGTTGAGAATAGCAAAATAGATTCAATACTTATAACTTAATAATTAGAAAGTTATAATATCAAATAGTATGGGTGCTAGACCTCATTTTTAATGATATTTTTTCTTATTTTAATAAATGTTCTATACTACTTGCTGCACATTTTAGTTTGATACTTTTATTCATCATTTTATAATAAGATGATCACAAATGTATGTAATTATAATTTTAAAGGTATTTAAGATATGTCATAACTACTGTCAGTAAGTGATTAGCTAAAACTATACCTCTCAGTCTTTGTTCTGACACATTTCATTCCGAGGGTTTAACTGTGTCACTCACACTCGAGGTCTTCTAAGAAAATCCACCCCACCATTTACGTTTCTTACACCTTTCACCTGAAGAATTGTGACAAATATTGTACTCAGCTTACAGTGTGGTTGTTAAACCCCAACAACCCAACATAAGCACAACCCCCAAAAAGCACCTGACACTCATAAGGTCCCATACAATAAAATCTCCAATCTCCACTCCATTTGAAATTACTCCAGGACTGATAAGGAACCAAGGACAAACTTCTGCATAATTGGTCTTGGCCAGAGCCCACACTTCAGGTGCTGCTACTGCAAGGTCACACTGTCCCAGGAATAGCAGATAAAGACCTAGAATGAGAACTGGGAGGTCAATCTCCCTAGAGGTGGATCAAAAAGACCCATCAAATGTTTCATGTATGCTTGTCCCACTGTGCCTAACTCCCTGCATTTCAGTTGTACTTACAAGTCTCTCAGAATACCTTGATTATCCTGTAAAAGAAACACCCTCCCTCCTAGCTGGTGGGCTGAGGCACCTCTGGCTTCAAATCCTCCCCCCCTTCCAGTGGTGGGGGGGCTTTTTCTCTCAATGGACTTTCTTTTTTATTGAGATGATGTCCCCCAAGTCTTACTCTGGACCCTGACAGTACACAGTAACCAATCAGTCATAGTAATTATCATCATCATCAATAACATTGTAAGTGCAAACATTCAGTTTCACATTATCTAAATTAAATGAATGAAATAGACTATTTCTAAGTTAAAAAATTGGACTCATTTCTATCTCATTTATTTCCCTCAGCTAATTTTATTTATAATAAGCTTATTAAGGTTTGCCACAGTTTAACAAACACATAGCATGCATGACTTAAACACACATACGTGTATACAATTTTTCTGTTTTTAAAAGATAATTGGGTGTGGTCCATGGTCTGGAGGCTGGATCTCACATGGCCAGTTATGCTCTTCATAGTGGAGCCTGTGATTTGCAAAACACCTAGGCAAGTGTGCATGTGTACCCAAAATCACAAAAGGAGGGAGAAAAAGAGTAGAAGAGATTGCAGTGTGAGTATGCTCCCATAATGGGTGCTTCGCCCATCTCTCTTTTTCTCTCTGTCTCTCTCTCTCTCTCTCTCATGTCTATTTTTGGAGAGTGTACATGCCCTCCAGCAAATTGGGAAAAAAAAGATAATTAAAGAATTGTCAAATATGGTCTAGAAACTTTTTATTTTGATTATTTGATCAATGTCTTAGATACTATAAAAATAAGTTCCTAATTAAACAGTGAAGTATTGTACAGCTTTGAGTAAACTGCAATAAATTATTATGAATAATTAACAAGATGTTGATTCTATAATACCAATAGAATGATGGGGATCACCCAGACTATGGAATAAACTTGTAGCTGCGTGGGTATAAAATATATATCCTAAACCCAGAGCAGGAGCCAGTCAGCACTCACTTGGAAATTGTTTTACATAATACAATACATGACACCATTTTAAATTTTGAGAGTAAATTGTATGAAAGATGTGTTCAGGCTTACAGATAGTTTGTATTTCTCTGTAGGTATAAATGGATTAAAGAAAAAAATAATAATGATATTAACATTCTCCATTCTTTTTTTTATTTTTAATGTATTTATTTATTCTACCATAGGTTAGAGAGATAGAGAAAGAGAGAGAGAGAAAAGAAAGCATCCTCAACACAGTCTTGATGCTATGATCCATTGTCAACGTCCGTTCCAGGCATCCCCAGATCATGGGCAGGTAGATGTACTTAGGGAGGTCTCCGGCTGTGTACCTGGAACCTTGTATGTGGATCAGCCTCACCGCACCACTACCCAGCACCAATGGACTATACATTTAAAAATCTTATGAGTAGATAAGTCTTTTTCATTTTTTAAATTTTAATTTCAAGGCTAGAATAAAATGTGATCTTTTTGCACTTTTATGTCCTAAGTAATATAAAGAGAAGGAAGAAGAATTAAAGATTGTGCTTCCAACACCTCACAGAAAGATACTACTTTATTTAAGTCAAATTGTCAGCTTAATAGTAACTGTAATTAGAAAAAGGTCCGGTAAGAAAAAGTTAACTGAACCGGCCCAGAACCACAGTAGTAATATGCTGGCCAAGCAAAACTGGATCCATGTGAGTGATCATAGGTTCTGTTCCCTGTTGGACCCGTGCACACCAGGTTCATGTGCCCCATGACCCTTGACTAACTGGGGAGGTGGAGGTAGGATTACATGTGAGACTCTGTTGACGGTCCTTGTCTTTCTATCTCTTTCACTCTTGCTGTCATAAAAGAAATGAACTTTAAAAAAATAGTCAATTATCAAGTAATTTTGAGTGTTGTTTTCAATTAGCAATAATCGTGCCTCAGATAAACCTCATTGGCTACGATACTGCCACTGCGCAAAGCTGAGTGTTGTTTTATTTTCCCATCCTTAGTACTCCAGTTCCCATTTTTTTCCTTTTTTTTTTCCTTTCTCCTTTTATTCTTCTTTCTCTTCTTCTTCCCTTCTCCTTCCACTTCTCTTCCTTTTCTCCTTCTTCACCTAAACTCAACTTTGGCAAGAATTGTATCCCTGGTTTGGGGTACACCAGAAGTGTTTATAGGTCTAAGTGCTATTACAGAGCAAAAATCATCTGTGTCCTGATATTGGGATGGTAACCTCTACTCTGTCTAGTTTGCTTCTACCTGACCATCCTTGAGGAAATCAGGGCTCAGTTAACATGAATCGAAATACGACTCAAACCTGCCTCAAATGAGTTGTCGCTGAACTCCTTCCACTAGGGCTCATAATGAGTCAGGCTGCCTAATTAAATCAGGGGAAACTATTATTCATGACTCAAATGAGTTAATTATGCATATCAAAACACTCAGTAATTATTAAAAATTCAAACCTTTTTATAGAACAAAGACAATTTTATATTTCAAATTGACGACACTTCAGTATAAATATCTGTGCCAGACAAAAAATAAAAATTGTTAAAAAGCATCATTTTATTTTGCAGTGGTGGCAGGCATATGTGAAGGCTAGCTCGCTCTTTCAAGAACATTAGATGTCATGGTCACGTGGAATCGCACATAGCTGTGAATACAAAGCACACTGGCCTGTGGGTGGATTATATCTTTTGTAAAAAAAAAAAAAAAAAAAACAAAAAAAAACTGGAGGGCCAGCAGGTGGTATGGGGTTGGGGCACTGGACTCACGCATTACCCATCACAGTTTGAGTCCTGGACCTGGCTTCTCACTTTCCCTTTCTCTCTTTGTCTTGAGTGCACGTGTCCTATAGCGAATTAAAAAATAATAATGGGAAATAAAATTAAATAAATAATTTTTTAAAAACATCAGAAGATCGCTTCTTCACTTAATAGGATTTTAAATAACTTCCACAGAACTCTGCTTTTATAATTCAATAAATTACGGAGCAAGTTGTGAGAGTTTAGATCCACAAACTGTTCTTCTTATGACTCAATCACTTATAAACCTTTCCAGTTAGGAAGGTCAGAAGTAATATTGACCATTCAACAGAGACACTCTCCCTAAGTAGCAGGACATGGAGACCCCGAATTTTCCAATAAATGTATTCCATAGTTGGACTTATTTATAAATAATTCCAATACAAACCAGTCTGCAAATAATGACCTAACATCTTTCATATTTTTATTTGTAGTTTAGTAATTTGTACTCTGTTCCTACCAGGAGAATATGGTTTGTGGATTTCACCATTGAATAACCTGGCAGGATTAATCTACCTCTGCATCATTTGATTAAATCACCTTTTTTCTCACCTTTTTAATAAAACCCTAATTTATATTTATATATTTATATTTATATTTATATTGTGACCATATATCCACTCTGACCTATTAATTTATGACACTGTGGTAGGGAATCTAAAACAAATTCTAAGTCATCATTCTGCTGCTATGATACCGTATTTAACTTTGATAACAAATTTATAGTTTTTATCATGGTAATACAGTTTGCAACAATAAATTCATGAAGCTATACAATACTGTTGGAGTTCATTGTTTTCTTCTGATAATCTAACGATCCCAATAAGTACTAAATAAACTGTAACACAGTAATATATGTATATATATTTTTTTTTTTTGGAGAGATTTTCACTGTAGGGTGCGTGCGCTCACCAGACAGACAGAGAGAGACATAGAGACAGAAAGCGAGAAATCACCCCCCAGGGGGGATGGTCACGCCGCAATCCCTTCTCCTCCATTCTCCTCTCAGGATCTGGGCACGCACGCACATGCGCCCGGCGTGAGTTTTAAGCCACCGGGTCCGGGACATGAACCGCGGTTGACTACGTGAGTCCAGCAACATAGCCATTACGCTAACTGCTGGTTCCCAACACAGTAATATTTTTAAGTAAGTTATCTAGTTTACAATACAGTGAGGGATGACTAATGTTACTAAAGACATTAATTGTAATTAATTTTACTATATATTAGAATATGCATGTAAAAATCAACTCAAAATGCCACCATTTAAAGTATTATCTCAGGAAAGCAGTATTTCATTTTTATAAATTATAGATTGTTGGTTCACTTATTATGTTTATTTTTGTATTTTTTAAATTATTTCTTATACAGTCTCTATACACCATTTGCTTGTATAGAAAATTTGCCCAACATAAAATACACCTCAGACTAGTTCAGTTGAAAATAATATACACGTCATCAACAGCTAATAAAATATTTCTGTCCTGCGAATGTCTTCTCTATTTTTTCTCCCTAATTACCTTCCCTACATTCTTCTTTTTGACCCTCCTTCCACAGTGTCTCCAGTGTCTATAACTATTTTCAATGCTTTGATTTCTTCCAGTCTTTCAGTCTTTACATAAAGTGTGGATAGTTGGTATATGTTAAGTGGAGACATGCAGTGTCTCTCTTTTGTAGCCTGACTCGCTTTCAGCAATAAATCTTCTATATTTGTCCTCTTTCTATCAAATGCCAGGGTCTTGCTGTTTTTATGGCTGAATAGTATTTCACAGAGTATAAATGCCACGCCTTTTCAATCTGTTCATCTGTTTGTGGACATCTAGGCTGATTATGTTTTAGCAATCATGAATAATGCCACAATAAACATAGATGTGCAAGCACTTTTCCTACTGAGCATTTTCCCACCCATTGGCTAGCTAGCCCTAGCTAGCCAATAATAGAATTCCTAGGTAATACGGTAGATTTATTTGTAGATCTTTAAGAAACCTCCATATTGTTCTCCACAGTGACTGGACCAATTTACATTCCCACCAACAGCAAAGGAAAGTTCCCCTTTTACCACATCAACACCAGCACTTATCATTTTGTTTTTTTTAATCTTCACCAATCTGACTGGGGTTAAGTCAGTTAAGAGTGGGGTTAATTGGGTTAACTTTTTATTTTTTTTTGGTCTGGATAAGTCACTTGAGTTCCCTGTGTATTCCAGTTATCAGTCCCTTATTTGACGCATAGTACACAAAAATCTCCAAGTGTTGTTGATTCACACAAATTACTGTGTCTTCTTAAAGCAGAAACTTCTTAATCTTATTTAATCCCACTTGGGTTTTTTTTTTTTTTTTTTTTTTCGGACATTATTCCCTGTGCTTTGGGGGTCTTATTTAAAAAGTCTTTGCCTATCCCATCGTTTCCCAAAGTTTCCCCAGTGCTTTCCAGCAGTAGTTTTATAATGTGAGGTCTTAGATTTAGATCTTTGATCCACTTTGAGTTCATTTTTGTTAATGGTTAAAGACAGGAATTCAGATTCATCTTTCTTCAGGTGGATACCCAGTTTTTCCAGCACCATTTGCTAAAGAGGTTGTCCTTTTCCCACTGGATTGACTTGTATCCTTTTTTAAAGATCAATTGACTACATGTTTTGTAGTTTATTTTAGGTCTCAATTCTGTTCCATTGGTTCACCTGCCTATTTTTGTGCTGATACCATGCTGTTTTGATTATCATAGCTCTGTAATAAATTTTGGGACTAGAGAGTGAAATGCTGCCCACTCCAGTCTTCCTGTGTAGAATTGTTTTAGCAATATGGGACCTTTTATAATTCCAGACAAATTCCATGATTATCTCTTCTAGATTTATGAAGAATGTCTCTTGTAGTTGTATAGGAATTGCATTAAATATGTAGATTAATTTGGGTAAAATTGCCATTTTTGATTACATTAATTCTCCCAATCCAGAGACATGAGATGGCCTTCCACTTTTTTGTGTCATCTTCAATATCTGTTTTAAAAGATTTTTAGTTTTCTTTGTAAAGGTCTTTGACTTCCTTGGTTATTTCTGTATTTTTTTTTCACTTTTTTGTGTGTGTTTTCAGATTAAATTTCAATATTTAAAAAAATTTATATCTATATCAGCAGTATTTAACATGGCTTTAATATTAATAATATTTACAGAACTGCACTAAATATATTTTAAAGTGATTTGACTAGAAAATGACTGAAAATTTTAACCTGTTTAATACTGTATAATCATAATATCAACCAAAGTGCTTTTCTGAGAATAATGGCATTCTTGTAAACAAATTCTCATCTAATTTAAACTGGTTCTCAGTTTTCTGTCTCCATTTCTCATTTTCTCTAAAGTATATTTAAATTCTTGGGAAATAATTGCATGTTTCAAGGACAAATTTAAGAGCATTTTTATTACAAATTCAGTTTTGAGTAATAAAATCATGTCAAAGAAATAATAAAATTATGTCAAAGGAAATCAGAGTTAGAGTAGATTTGAATTTTATGAATGTATGTCTAAAGGACACTAGACTCTGTACCTGTGCTTTTAAAAGCCATTTAGTTACATTTTAGTTTGCTCTCTTGGTCTCTTAAATTGAAGGAATAATGGCCAAATGGAAGATTAATATACTGCTCTCAGACGTCAAAAATGACTTGTTTAAGCAATCAAATAAATTTTGCACAGAAAATGCTAAGGTTCTTTGAATACATACCCTACAAAATTGTACTCCAGATGCCAGCAGATTTACAATCATATTCAAATGTCTTAAACTCATAAATGCATACTTTTATTGCAAATACACTTCCAGTTTAGTAAGAATATAGAGAAAATAAGTATATATAAAATATTCTTTAGTCATGCTGTCCTGCCACCTCTATCCTTCCAGCGAGGCAGACCATATGCATACATACGTGGTGTGTTTTGAATGGATCCCAGTTCTGAGCTGTAGTCTTCTGGTCTGCAGACAGCATCCTACCCTTTGCAATAGCATGTGGTTTGTCTTCTACCACTTTTAAAATATTTTTAATAATTCTTTATAGAGTTGGGCAAGTGGTGTGGTGGTTAAGGGCACTGGCCTCCCACATGGTCAACCATGGTTCAAGTCCTGGACATGGCAGATTGCTTTCTTACTTTCCTTCTCTTCCTCTTTTTTACTCTGTCCCTCTCTAGTCAGAG